TTCGAATGCTTGATCAGATTTCTCAAAAAGATCTGGATGATTCTTGTACAATGGTGTTATACTTTTTCCATGTCTGATAGCTCTTTTCTTTTTCCGAATGGAAGATTTGAAGATAAAAAGCTTGATATCTACCAAAAGTTCCTTCTCAAGACTGCTCGTGGTTTCAGGTCTCTGTACAGGTGCTATACAAATAACTTTACCTTCTTCATACTCTTTGTGAACCGAATCATCTTTCACTTTATTCGATTTCTTAGACTCAGTCAATTCTTTATATGTCAAATTCCTTCCTCATGCTCAAATTCTCTATGTGAATCCATTTTTGTATAGGCCATACAAGCTAACTTGTTATTTTGGAATTTTCTGTCATTTGACATGGAGAATTTAAAATAGAATTACATTTTAGGCCATGTTTGGTACACATTATTTTTTTCATTCTCATTCTTCTACTTATTTTCAACCACACATTATTCAATAAAATAATATTTTCCATCACATCAATAACTTTTCCTTCATTTTTAACCACACATTCTCTATCAATCTACTATTCAATAATACATTCTTTCAAAGAATGTGTCCCAAACATACTCTTAAAGTCAACCATTAGTCTTAATTGTTAGTTGCACTTTTGCAGATGGCACTACGCGTTCCTCTGTCAGCATTATGTTGAATTTGATAATGGCATAAGATTGGATGACATTGCATATGGTTTCTTTCTTTTCAGTATGTTGTGTTGATCGTCATTTGTCTAAAGTTGCTACCTTTTTTAGCTTAATGTTAGGTGCAAGTGTCATGTTAATTAATCTCTACGTCTATCTTGAAATGTTTTTTAAGGTCATGTTTTTCCCCGGCTTGATATGAAGACCAGTTTTGAAATATTATATTTTGCTTATGAATAATGATTTTGTATAGACATCTTGGTCACCCTTTATACTCAGTAGACAATTGCGGCTAGAAAATCATAATTCTAAACCCTAGAATTCTTTTGATTTGTTATACTTTCTTCTTTCATATCAATGGAGACGACAGAAGTAAAGAATAAGACATCAAAAATCGAGATGATATTCGAACCGATTGATTTGTGATTTACAGATTTAGTATTATGAAATGTGAATTGATATGAATGAATAATGAAATTAATGATGAATTTTCAAGAAGTTGTTGGAATTGAATTGATTTGTATGGAAACCGGGTTCAAAATGTTAAAAAAAAAAAAGTCCCGGGCCATGTCTTTGTCTCCGTGCCACAAGGAGACACCGTGCGTGTCGTCTCCGTGTGGCACGGAGACACCCATGTCTCCATGCCTCACGGAGACACAGCCTCTCCATGCGAACCAAATTTTGTTTTTTTTTTTTATACATTAAAGATACATTTAGACTAAAATTGTCCCAGAGAAATGAAATAAAATGAGTAATTTCAAGAGGGGTGTTTTTTTCCTCTTTTTTTTTTTTAAACGGATTAGGTTATAATTAATAACATGTATATAAAACTTTTTTTTTTTTTAATATTTCATCACTACAATATAAAAGGGCAAAACACTTTGTATGACATCGCGATTTTCGAAATTATTACTGAATTTCATTTATTTATTTTTGCCACGAGGGGCGCCGTCGAGACGTTGCCCTCGGACCCCCACGAGGGGACGCTACCTCCTTGAGCCCAACAACCTGACCGGTCAGGTCGATCATCGCCCGGGGCGTTGCCTCGAACCCCATGAGGGGACGTTGCCCCCTCGACCCGAGCGACCTGACCAGTCAGGTCGATCACCGCCAGGGGCGTTGCCCTCGGACCTCGTGAGTCAGGTCAATCATAGTTGGGGCATTGCCTCGAAGCCAAGAGATAAATTTTCGCTATGAGTCGCGGTTGAATTTGGAATGACGACTATCATGCAGTTAATATAGTAATATATAAGATGCGCATTGATTGGCTTTGAAATTGAGCAAGTAATCGAGTTTTATTGGTTTGAACTTTCACGATGTTCAGGGTTATGTTAACTACAAAGTTTTATTGGTTTGAAGTTTTAGCAATCGAGTCTTATTTTTAGTCGTAACTTTCACGTTTTCTATTAAAGAAGTTTGGCAAAATAAGATTTAATTAGTGATATCTCCAAAAATAACCAAATATCAGTCAACGCTATTACATAGCCAACTATACTACGGCACGTGGTTTGCACGTGCGCTCACCGCTCACTAGTTTATAATAAAGAGAAACAAAAACTATAATTTTGGGGCTTTTCTGAAAAATAAAAATAAAAGGAGGCGTCCATCCAAAGATATCGTTTGCTTATACTTTATACTGAAGCTGCAACGGCTAAAACCCTGTATTTCCTGGTGAGTTTTCGATTGCTCTTCGTTTTCCTTTATTTTTTTTAATGCATAAAACTTCTTCAATTTGTAATTATATCGCTTTAATTTCCTCAAATTACACTAATCCTTGTTGGGTTGCCTAGAACTCGTCGCTACTCGGCAGATTAACGTTAAAACGTATCTGAATGATTGAATTTCACACATTGTAGATGTAATTTGGTGGGTGAGAATATCTATCGAATATGTTGAGTGCTATGAGCGGAGGCCCAATGAGGGTCCACTTAACCCGAGGCCGTCTTGAGCCTATTTTGTAAGTAATTTCGAATTAAAGCCTAAACAGTTTGGGGCTGGATTCCAAGCTGAGTTTGATTGCTTTTAACCGAGTTTTGGGATAATTGGTTCCACGTACAGACAGGTCCATTCATTTTGGCAAGAATTTTGGAATATCTAGAACTCAAAATCTGAGTAGTTTTGATTCGTAAGGTTTTTAATTTATTTCTATTTCAATCATTATAATCAAGTGTAGAAATGAAACATATACTCTTGAGATCATCCCAGTCCTTTCTAGCTACAATTTCACATATTATAAACTGATTAAATCCAATTATTAATTATTTAAGTGATACCAAAAATTCCCTGTAATTCCAAGGAACTGGTGTATTCTCGGCTCAATTTGGCAGTCAACGTGTAAATTCTTCAGGAGGATGTTATCTTTAAGCAAATATTTTATTCTGTGTGTCAATTGGCTTCTGATCTGCCGTCTGAATATTTTCAGACATTCTTTCTGATAAATGTGTGTTTTTTTAATTTTATTTGAAACTTGAAACCAATAGCAATTGCAGCGTGCTTAACAGTAATAATGTCGTAGGAGAGAAAGAAGATGTTATTCACCATGCTTACTCTTTCTTTTTTAGCAAGTGACAACGTTTTCAGTACTTTTTATGTGGGAATTATTTTCTTATCATTCAATGAGCATCTTGCATTTCATAAAAATTGGGGGCAATATAATCATGGCATTCTACTATTTGCCACCACTTCATTCAACTAAGCTTTGGATGCTGCTTAAATTAACGTACTTCGACTTGACTCTTATTGTAATGATAAATGGGTCATAAAACCCTGACCTTCTCGTGAATATTTGAAATTACTGTCGCTCTATCCCTGCAAGGACAGAGGATCGGTTGTCACTACTTTTGCCGCTGGTCTCAACTTGATGAAATTTCTGTCGTTCTATCATTAGCTATTTTTACTAAAATGGAGATTCTAGAACTTTGAATTGATGTGGTTTCAATTGAATAGAATCTGTAGTTGCATTAGGATATAAGAAATGTAAGAGATGTATTACAACCAAGGATTGAGAATTGGGAGAAAAATATCTGGGAATCTTATTTCACAAATGAAACAGGGGCTACAATAAATAGAAGGAAAAATAGGCGGGAAAAGTAGTTGGCCAGCTAATCAACTAAAATAGTTTTTGGCGCCAAGTCTAATTACAAATTAATCCTAAAAAGATGTTGCTAGACGCCTGCTGTTGCTTCACATCCTTTTCTCGTTACTTTGGTGTAGAATCTTAGCAGTCGCACAAAGAAATGATACAGCCTCTTGCATGCTCTTGAATTACTATTTATATTTTACTACTAGCTTTTCACCTGTTCACTATTTTACTGGACTTCTCAGTAGAAATGTAACAACATATAAGCCATAGGTTGATCGATTATTCACTGTTTACATAAATACATTTGGTATGTAGTGAACTATGACAACAATAACTGTCGGTCCTACTTGCTTTTACTAAAATTAAGGATGCATGTACAGCAGGCTAAACTCAAAATGCATCCAGCCCTGTTTAGTAGATTTGATATATGACTTCTTTTACAGAGAAGTGCATGTTTTATATACAACATTGGTATAATGAACAAGAGTTTAACTTTTTTTTCGTCAATAATCCTCTCGGTGATATCAAATCCTTACCACCAAACATGTTAATAAAGCACTTGCCTCTTAATGCTGGCACTATTCTGTTTGAATTTTGAGGATATGTCATGCTTCATGGGACCCAAAATGAATAAAATGTGAAGATGTTTATTAATTTGAAACAGAATGCAGATGTCTTCATGCTAAATTTACAGGGGTGGTAGGGAGCATAAAGGTTGTGGTATTTTGCAACTTATGTTTCTTACAGATATAGACATTGATTCATACGATGATGGTCTAAAGTTACAGCTTGGACACATAACCGAACTTCTGCCTTGATTCACTTGAGAACTAGAACTCGAAGTCCTTGTGCAATATAAAATTGTAATTTTGTGATTGTCTTTACTATTTCGAGTATTTAAACCTAAATAATCTGATCATGCTGGTGTTTGAAGAATCTTAGATAAGATATAGGGAAGGAATTAGCAAAGCGAATGTGAAATCACTTGCATGATGGCATGAAACGACTAATCTTTGACACTTACCACTTACCAGTGCGTGCATAATTAAGTAGTCATCTACTAATTTTATTTTATTTCTAATTAATTTTGGCTTAGCCAATTAAGAACCTGTGTAAATTGACACTGAAAATATCAAATGAGCTTCTCGGTAATTCAGCAGTTTAAACTATTGTTTATATTGGCTAAGTTCCCCATTCATAGTTCTCCATATGAGTTTCCTTGCATTATAGTTTGTGTACTTTTACCCTACTGTAAGCTTAGTTGAGAAAACCTGATGAGTATACCAGAAAGATTCTATATTTCCTAATATTCATTACATCCTTCTTAAAATTGACCAGGTTTATCATGGGAAACAAGCCTGCAAAGCAAGAAAACGTCCAGAATGAAGAGCTGCTATTGAAGATTGTGCCCCCTTTAGACCATGCATATGTTCGTTGGCTTGCTCGGGATCTTGAGAGAATCCATGGCTTCACTCCAAGAAATCCTCGTGCAATAAAGCCCCCAGACCACTATATCGAGTTCATGCGCCTGAATGGATGGCTTGATGTGAACCTGGACGATCCTGATCTGGCACAATTATTCAAGTAAAATAATCATGTATAATTATTGAACCTTTTCGGATGCATATGAGGAGATATTTTTCCCTATATTTTCTGAGATACGTACAGGTACTTTCACCTTAAAGTTCGTACTGCTGAGGCATTATAAACAATTGTTCTGGCGATTATTGCCCGACTGTAGAAAATTAGTATTGCTAGCAAGAAATGAAATGCTATCTTGATAAACACAAGAAGTCGACCCCCAAGTTCCTAACTTTAAAGGATTGGACTGAGCCTTCCCGATTTTGAGTTTTCTCAATTTGAATTAACCAAAGTTCAATAGTACTCGACAAGTTCGAAAGTCTTAAAAGTACTTCTATCGATATGATCACAGTTGAGCTCTCTTGATCTCAATTCTATATAAAGTTTGACATCATTTAAATATTAAGAGAAAAAGGTAAAGAAATAATTAATAACTTGAATATTATTGCATTTATAGTCCAACAAATAATCAATTGGGTGCAATTCATCTCCTCAAATATAGCATGCAAGTATTTCTCGTCATGACAAACAAATGTTCAAATCAAGGATTGACGTGCATGCAACCTCAGCATCTGTCAAATAATCTGTTGAAACACTCATGTAGAAGCAACTTTTATTCTTCTCAATGTCCTTTCATGTATTTCTTTTTTTTTTTTTTTTT